CTTTTTATTTAGTAATTTTGTAAATTTGCTTGTCGTTTATTCAAGCTAAACAGGTATAAGACAAAACACATTTTGGCTACTGTTTTCCTGATTTTTTCTAGATGTTACCCATATGCATCAATTTGAATTTTTTAAAATTTTTTTGTTACTAGATATACATATATAGCAAAAAAACAAGAAAATTAAGTAAATACAAATTAATTAATAGAGAAGCGCATGACCTCAACATTCTTAACAATTACCAAAATGCTAATAGGAAATATACAAGAAGAAAATCGTTGCAAAAACCCTGATGGAGAACGCTTGATAGCATTTCTCGTCGTAACTTACATAATGAGAGGGCGATGTTGGCAATACGCACCCCGGCGCAAGAAAATATCAAGCTTGTGACGTTGTGCTTTATTATTAGTTCGTCTGTATTGGCTCTCTCGTGAGGAGGTTTAGACTCCATTGTTTGTAAACATTGCAGACATTTTGATTTCAGTGCAGTGTCCAGAAGCGTCAGTGAATAGTGCGTGTATAGTAAAAGTAGAAATGCCTTCTGCTGAACTTTGTCCCATTCCTAAAATGAGTGCACCGGTTAACAATACAAATTTCAATATTTCGATTTCGTCGAGTGATGTTGAGGGACTCGTACTAGAGATCAAGGAAAATTTGAGGTTATCAGGCCCATCGCTGAAGGCAAAGCCCTATCGTAACCTTTCACGGAAACCTCGAACCTCTCCATATCGTATGCCCGGTAAATATATGTGCGATTCATGTGACGCAAACTGTGTGAGGCACAAAAATAAACAAAACGATCTTGCTCAAAAGGACCCCTATGAGCTACTACAGGCTCTACTACGCTCAGAAAAACTGATCAGTGAGGCGGTTCGTCGCGTTCAGATGGGATTCACTTCGAAAAAGTTCTACTACGACTCTGATGAGGAATCTTCCAAGAGTCCAGTTTTCCGATTATACCAAGACAATTAATCAGTTTCCTAATCCGTTATGTTTATCAACTTATATTTAATGAAGTTAATGTTCCTTTTCGAATTTTTGTGTGATTGCTAAATGTACTGAGGTGGCTGGTCATAGCACGTTCAAGGAATTCACATGTGTTTACAAGGTAGGTAGGTGTGAAATTGTTTTAACCACCAATAGGCAACCTAGTTAAATTGTTGTGTATGGTGCCATCCATTGTTTACCTTATTTGTGATTAAGCAGAATTTAGAACCTCCTATTGCTCCTACTATTTACGTTTTTAAGCAACTATGTAAGTAGGTTTGTGTGGCTTGCCAACTTTGCCACTTTTAAGAAGCCAAAAGGATCAACTTGTATCTAACAACCAAACGTTTTATTTAAACTAGGTGCCTACTAATGTACACATATTTTTCAAAATCCACTTTCATAACTTCAACCAGAAAACATCTGTTTTTGCACTATAATACTGCGTATTTTCATTCCTTAAATGTTCACATTCTCATCGCAATTCTTAATCTGAATCGGCAAAAATTCGTAGTAAACGTTATGGTTAATAATGTGACAAATTATACAAAAACGTACCCTTTACCACGTAATTAAAATATTTCAAGGTTTAAAGATAATTATGATAGTTGTCGTGGGACTGTAATCAAATTGGTGCCAACGTAATCATAAATATCAATGTTATCAGTAGCTGTAACCTTTATTTTCATTCACTGCAATAAGCAATAAGATTTGATTGAAATGTTTCGCAGAAGTTTTGTGTCCTTCTAAAGTTAAAAAGTGAAGTTTGTCGTTAGCCACTGGTTCCAGCCCACATTTTCTTGCAACCTAAATGCTAAATGTAAATTGGGGAATTTCTCTAAAGGTTGCCTGCATTCGTAATGAATGTACTACTTAGATTATTGCACGTTTCATTCTTTCTCTTACCAGACTAACTGCACCAGTTTGCAGCCGCAGAATTTGTACATTGTATAGCATTACATTTCATTAAGTACAAGTATTGACCCACGTAGATTAAACACATGTTAAACAGTTAGCTAAATGTAGAAAGCAGCTCAACTTGAATTAAATAGTATTACACAATGGAAATGTGGACTCAATCGCCGACAGATGACTTATTCTTTAAAAACAATAAGTTACGTTCTCCATGCAGTCTAATTTATTATTATTATCTAGTTAATACCAACATCACTTCGACTTTCATACAGTTTTATAACGTTATTTTAATATTTCTAGTCTCTTCGGTACCTCATCAAGCAATCATGCGTACGTTAATATTTTATCAATGACACTGTGTTGAAATTAAAATGCGATTATCTTATATAGTGGATGTCGAACTTCCTTCGTTAAACCACATACATATGGATTATTTTTCAATTTGCATACCGGAAAAACCTCAGTTCCAACAGAACACATTAGAAAATGGTGAGTCGTGGAAACGGATTTCTTCTTGACGCCTTGCAACCACATCTGAAGATTCAAGACAGTAGGAAGAAAAACTCAGTAGTTTCAAGCAATAGTAGGGAGTACAATATACCAGGAAATTATTTTTCACTACGGGCTAAAAGCCAGGATTTTCCTCATATACCAAATATAAATTTTGTTTAATTCTATTATTGTATGTAAGTACGTATTAAAGTATAAAAACTGTTTTTCAGGATGGTTCGTGAACAAGATCCCCACCCGCATCCCAACTGCCATCTGTAATGGATATGTAGGTGCATATAAATGAACACTTTTACCTTAAAGACTTAACAACAAAGCTTAAACATGCTGATGCGAAACGGAATTTTTTCCCTTAAAATTGTCTTTTACTGATTTTAGTTCTCACACTTGTTTAAATAAAAGGTTGTTAATGTGGGATTCTTGTTTTCTAAGTTGTATGTTCAACATATTTTAGAACTTTTCTTATTTGCAAAAATCTTCAATAATTTTTTTCATTGTTTTTAGACTCTCTTGTAATATTGATACGATATGCGATCTACATGAATTTTCTGAAATTGAATGTACAAAGTAATCAAGGATTCATTTAGAATTTAAGACGTGAGGCCAGCTGATTGATCTACGCTTACTAATATTTAAATATTTGTGTGAATGCGTACTTTTTTGTAGCCGTTTTACTATTCGTTTTAAGTATTATTTTTATCTGTGATTACAGTTCATATACCCCTCGATTTGTTTATCTCGTTTTGCTAAAATTTTTCCAATATTTGTAGATAAATAATTTTTTTTTTCAAAATTGCTCTTTGGGCGGAATATATGTCTTCACTGCAATTAAACACATATCGTTATTTGGTGTTTATAAAACAGCACATTGAAGTGTGTGGCATCTAAAAATAAATATTTTAGCAAGCACGAGGTTTACAAAATCTGATAGGTATTTGCGTAAGTATACTATAGGCTATAGTTAGCTAGTTGAATTGATAGTTTGCGTAACTATTTCAGGGATTCACTTTATTCCTAAACAAAATGTAGTTTGTAAGTTAAATAATCTTTTTTTTTAAAGCATCCAAAGTTATAAAGGAGATTACTGAAAGCAGTATCTGAAATATTTTCATACGGTACTTTAGTTGTTGTTTGGTAAGAATATTTCGATATCATTTGTTTTGTATGTCATGCGTTTCAGGCGACATGCATTTCTCCCCTATCTTAAATGAATAGATAAAAGTTGCAATTTTATGTGTTGATCTTAGCAGCTTACATAATCTCCTTCATGAATTTCGATTTGTTCTAGAATAGGTTTTTCTCCTTTTCACCGTCTTTGGAGCATCTAAAAATTGCTCACTGTCACGTTTTTTCGTAATTGGATTTAAATTTATTTCGTGGTTATCATTTTATCATTAAATAATAAAATTAGGAAAATATATATTCGAAAGAATATATGAGATACGTACAAACTTTATTCTAGATTAATCTTTGTTTTTTCACAGCGAGAGATATTGATTAAAGACGTTAGGTATACCTACTGCAAGTGCTCTATATTCATTATAATCTACCCGTGTTTCTGGTCATTCTGGTGTAAAATGCCTTCAATATTAATGACATATTTACAAAGTACACACACATATCCAAAGTAATTACAGTTTCGCTATGTTCGCGTATGTAGGTGTTTCAATTTCACTTTTTTTAGTCCATGCGTTGATTTTCACGTCCTTACTTTTTACTTTCGGCCGTGGTTTCTCTAAAAAAATGCTAAAAAGCAGTTTAAAAACAACAATCCCGATTAATTCGTGATTAACAAATTATGAATTTTTCTAATCTAGGTAGAAGCATGGAATTTTTATTATTCGCTTGGGGTATTCCTGTATTTATTATGTATGTTCAATAATTATACCAAATTTTCTGTTTATTTCTAGGTTTTTGTAAGAAAAAATTACTTTAGTTTTGTAGTTAGTTGAAAAAGAGCTCGTGTAGTTTTAAGGTCGATTTTTGTAGTTGTCATTCGACGTTTATGAAATCTATGTGATGTTAGTTACTACGCTCTTTTCAGCGCTTTTCATATTACTGTTAAAGTTTTAGTCTTAGAACAGGACACCTAAAAATATCTATTTTCATATGTATTGTTAGTCGTCTGTTAACCCTGATAGTATTTTTCCACGACACAAAGCAAAAAACGATTTCAGGACAACCACCCATTCAAAACAGAAAGTTTTGCTTTACTTGAGGATTTTAGAAAATGATATTTTTAAGTTCATTAGAATTTTCCACTGTTGGTACCAAAAATAACTGATTTCCTAGCAGTTAAATGTTTCACCTTCAGTAATAGACGATCTCGTATTTTTTGTTCGACCGAAATATGTAGAATTCATTCTATTAATATTTCTAGAGCAGCAATAACTACTATCAGTTCATGTGTTTTGCATTATTTTGTTTTGCTGACTTAGCGATCCCTATTATTTTATGTTCAAGTCAGATATGCTTATATGCGATTTTTTAATTTGATACGTTTATTTTCCTATTAGCGATGGATGTAAATGAAAAATGTAAATACATTTGGGAAAGTAAAGTGGTGTTTAATTGAAATAAAAGTCATTTTTTGAATATCAGTGTTGGTTTGGCCGGCCGATTAATCTTTCGAACATGAACATTACGGAATTTCCGATGCCCTTCAGTGAATGTTGTTAGTTAAACATTAGAACATGCGAAACGCGCTGTTTCCGATTGGTTTATTTTAAAGAGCCCATTAGATGAACGAAACAAGTTTGACTTGATATCAGTAAATATTTATTCGATTCGAATCGAATGAGTCATGATTTTGCTCAAATATTGAAAGCGCCCGGTATTTTATCAAAACATGATTAAAAATCTAGTTGTAAACATCCAGCTTGTATTTTTATAGACAGGTTTTCAGCCAGACATCTGTAGGATAATAGCAGTTTTCGATACGAGGGCGAAAAGTGTCGAGAGTGTCGAAAGACGAAGTCGAGAGTGTCAATCCGTCAGGAGTTCGAAAAACGGATTTTCGCCCTCGTATCGAACAATATTTTTTATTCGAATAAATGACATAACAAGAATAATAAATTATAATGAATAAAACTAGCCAAAAATAAAAGACGTCAACTTCATATTTTAAATTTGATGTCAATGCCATTTTTGAAATTGTCACGTTTTAACGTTTGTAATTTTTTAAAAGCGTACTTTTGTAAGCATATACAAGTGAAACAATGAGTGGTGAAAACTCAAGTGCTTAAAAAAATCGTGTTTTGCTTGTAACATTGACGAGCGCAGAAAAATAGACGATTTGAACGACTGAGACTGAACTTGTAACTAAGTTATAATTTAGAAATTGTAAGTAAACTTTAAATTATAATCAATAGTTGTCGATAAACCTACGTAATTCATTAAAAAAGCATATAGGTTACTTTTTAATGAAAATACTTTAAAAAATATAATAACAGTGACAGGTTCAATTTGTCACATTTACTTTTGCGCACATGTGCGTAAAAGTAAAACAAATGAGCACCAAAGAAAAGTGCTTCTTTATGATCATCGCTTCCGATCGAAAAATGGCACTTTTAGATTCATTCGAATAAAAACATTGGCAAGTTTTTCTTGCTCTCTGCAAATTTTTACTGTTAGTGTACTG